TTGCTAGTTAACTTTATGGGAAGCATGATTGGCGTAGCGCCGGGAGCGCTCGCCTCTTATCAATGCCGGACCTGGGTTCGATTCGGTCCTCACAGGGTACGATGAAATTCTAACGTCTCCCGTCTTTACTATTTAAACACATGTTAAAGTACATTGCAAAAGAAGAAATCTGGCGTTTTTCATTTCTTGTTAGCATTTTTGGTTCGAGAGATATTCGAGTTTTACGCTAATCAGGAGGTTGATGACGTCACATATTCTCAACTCACAGTTTCCTTCAACATTGATTTCAGTATATCTCTGAGTATTTGATCAACATCATCCAAACTTTGCAGTATATTTGTATTCAAAATATGAAACATGATAATGCACAAACTGTGGTTGCTATGGCAACATGCTGGTTTCCAGGCCCCTAACTATTTTAGCCATTCAGCGATTGCTACTTTATTTTTTAACTTGAGCAGAAACTTTTTTGACTAAATTTGTGTCTACGACCATAACAGGTATTTAATCTCTCGATGCGGTAGAAATGTCAAAAACCTGAATTTAAGGTAGAGGTGGCCTGGAACCGAGGCTGTTGCTATATCAATCTCTATAGCTACTTTTGAAGAACAGCTAGAGTACTATAATACTAGCAAATTTGGTTCGGATTTTAGTTAAAATTGGGCTGAGATATAGCTYATAGCAAGAAAAATGGCCGCCATTTTTTAAACTCCAATATCTTTTGCAGGAAAAAATGACATTTCTAAAAGGAAATTTACATTTTACTTTCCTATCAGAGGTCTTTCAATCCAGGCCAAAAAGTGCTAGTCCGAAATTTGATCATAGTGGCACTTCGAATGGTCTTGCTCAGAAGTCYATAAAGGCGCGATTACACGGAGCCATTTTCTCTGCAACTTGTCTCGCAACAGCGTTGCGATTGAGACACAASTTACAAGAGTGTCTACACGGTGCAACGGACACGCCATCGTTGCCAAAAGTAGRAACGATTCTACTTTTCGCAGCGATTGTTTCAACTTGTCTCGCAAAATTGTTTCAAATTGCGCTGTAGCTCAACAAACTTGTGTCGACGACAGCGAAAATTGCTCCGTGTAATTACTCCTTAATTTTAGTTATGAGCTTCCGATATGCTCTAATGCCTTGTCGTTGCACAGAGGCTAGTACATTCTCTGAATAATAAATTATGCTCGTATATGCAAATATTTMAGCCATATACGTGTACGTTTATCGCTTAAACAATAGTATGTAAATGCTATTGCCTTTGGTCAAGTACGTCAAGTACCAAAAGAGCGTCACGGTGAGACTGAACCATTTCATTTAAAATCCTAGGCCAAAACAGAACTGTTTACTTTCGAGGAACCAAAATACAAGGTAGGTTAGTAGCAGTAATCACTCATTCTATCGATACAATCTAAAACTCTAACTATTTTWAAAAATCCTTCTTGCTTGACTGACTTTCTTGATTCGATTGAGACTGTTTTTGAGATAAGATGCTTTTAAGAATTTTATAAGTTTTTTTAAAAGGATTTCCCGACGGAAGCTACTACGAGTTTTCTTGGACAATTATCATCGTTAAGGTCTTGGGGAAAACTTTCCCAGTGTAAAAACAGCATGTTTTGTAGAAAACKTTGCATTAATTTTTGTATAGTTTTAATATAGCGTGACCTTAATATTTTTCGGGAAAATATATCATCTTAAACGAGCATAGRAAAACCTGTCATTGTTTATTTCGCCTTGCGTTTTTATTAAGTGCTCATGAAAATCAAAAATAGCCGAACTGTTTAGACTTTTAGCGTTCTCATAGTATAAAGGTTTCTCTGTTTACAACGTCTTCAAAAACAAAGCCTTAGCTTGTACTTGTRCTTGTAATGAATTTTTCATACATATAAGTACGGTGCACTTTGTAAATAAATAGTGCATAAACCTGATTTCTAACTTGTTCAATCGCTTTTCTTCATATTTTTCCTGACATTTGCTATCTAATTATCTACTTTTAACATCGAAACTCCCTTGTTCAAATTCTATGAATGGGGTGGCTAGGCTCATTAATATAACCACATCACARCTTTTGAGTTTGATCGTTGATCGTTGATGGATTGTCTTTGTATAATAGTTATCCCAAACGGCCATTGTGTTTCTAYCCGATAGACTCGAAGACTAATTCACTTCATGACTTCAGTGTCTTTCTTTGACTTTAGTTGTGTAGTTTACAGAATGAAGTGGCCTGCTGTATCGGGTTTACGAACGCGAGGCCGCAGAGCCGATACAGCACGGACACAAATTCTGTAAATGGCTTCTAAAACTAACCCCGCAGGGACCTTTTTCAACARAGGAATTATTGAAAAGACTTTGTTATTAGGAGCTGTAATTAACTCTTTTGGTTTGAAAAAGGCGATACTTTCAAACAAAGATAACCAGAAAAATGTGCATGAGCTTACCGGCTCAATTCATCTACCCGGCGTTGCAATATACTAATGTATTGTGGCGTGTGATTTGACAAGTAAAAGTGGACTGTAGAGCATGCACGAGAATTCTTAAATGGCTT